AGAGAGAGAGAGAGAGAGTGAGAGAGACAAACAGACAGACAGACAGGCAGAGAGTGTGTGAGAGAGAGAGAGAGAGAGAGAGTGAGTGAGAGAGAGAGAGAGAGAGAGAGAGCGAGCAGAGAAAAGATGTCGCTCCCTGAGGCAGTACCCTAAACGACGCTGTGGCATTTGAGTGAGTACCACCATCACCAGTTGGTGAGTGAGGAGGTCGCAACCTCGTTTAACTGACAATAAGAAACTCATTACAGCCAATCAGCTTGTTGAAGAGTTAAAAGTTGAGCTTAACCAGAAAATAGCGCTCAAACAGATAATGCTATTAATATAGGAAGACCTCAGGTAATGCCAATTTCATCACAGTAGGGATGTAACGTCTCTTTCAAAGCAATAACATAAATAAATTATTCAAAAAATGAGTCGTAACAGTCAGTTCAACGTACATCTCAAATTGGATCAACCCAAATAAGTGAACATTTGTTTGTTTTAGTAGAGGTTTTACGGTGCTCGCAACTGCATAAGGTCATGTGAGCGCCAGAAGATTAGAGGTGATACAAGAGAGTAACAAACATAAAAAACAAGGAGGGGAGATAAAGACGATAGATTTTTTATAGGAAAGAAGAAGCAAACCACACCAGAGCACCCGCCAACCACCCACAATAAGTGGAAAGATTGGAAATCTCCTCAAACGACCTAAGTTCAAGAATGCACCATTGAAGGTTCGAACAAATACGACCTGCACTGCAGCCCAGCATGACACAAACAAATCTCAGCGCAATCCCTGAGTTAATACCCCACATCCATAAACAAGAGGTCTGATATAAGCCCATAATTTCTTTTCTATCCCTGCTGGCTTCGCGCGGGATTACACCCCGAAGGCAGCTTTCACTCGAACCGTCCCCTATCAAAAAGGCGATAAAACTCTTACAGAGTTCGATAACATAAGACCGGTTGGCGAGCCAGATCTATCACACGTTCGATAATCGATAGCCAAAGGTTCAATGGAAGGTAGCAGGACCCCCGCCGTGGCGTGAGATCAGGGGCGACAAATTGGTGGTGACTAAATCAGTGTGGGGCAGACACTTCACGGCGCGGTTTGGCCGGGGCTGATACAGTCACAGTTTGTTATGGTACATTTGTCTACTGGAGAGGTACTTTACAGTATGGTGCAGAAACTTTACAGTATGTCTGGTGCAATGAAAGACTTCACAGCGTAGCTCGGCTCGGGGCTGATACACTAAGAGTTTGTTGTGGTACATAATTGTATTGTCTGGTAGAGGGTCACTTTTCAGTATGGTGCGGAAACTTTACAGTACAGTATGGCCGGTGCAATGAAAAACTTCACGGCGTGGCTCGGCTCGGTGCTGTTACATTCAGAGATTCGCCTTTCATTTTAAGGCCTCGGGTTGGAATCAGAGACTGGAAAATTTTCTTCTCTAAAATTGTTTCCTTTCATTTCCTTTCCTGCTCTCTAACAATGTTCTGTCGTCTGCTTTCTGCCCCCACCCCCTAACTACGTTTGCCCCTCCTTTAGGCTCCTGACTCTTTCTGCAACCTTTCTACTGCTACTCCTTGGCTCCTTCTTACTGCTGTCTTTCAGCTCTGATCTTATGGTAGGAAAGATCAACACCTAGCCTCCTCGGACAAAGGCGAAAAATCTCGGAAGTTCCGTGTGCAAGTTAAGCAAGTTAAAGATCTATTGGTGGTCCAAATTCAATAAGAGTAGGCTTCGACCGCCACTCGGGCAACATTCAAAATTCCCCACCAACTGAAAAAATACTTAATGTTTCCCGCGCGCTCATATGACTTTATGCAGTTGCGAGCGCAGTAAAACACTTACAATTAAAAAAAAAAAATCTGGCCCACCAACAAACCCACGCCAATGTTGAGTCCGGGCCAGGGGCGTGTAGCGTAGTACTTTGTGCGTCAGTCCGCCAGATAGAGAGAACCCTGGAAGAATGGCGGTTTGTTCCGGCTTTCAAATGTCACACACGCGTGGACGAGAAATTATCATGAGAAAGGCGGTTCGGTTCATGGGTGAAAGGAGATTATGACTAGCTCATTTCGTCTCACAGTGTACTTATGTAGAATTCCATCTGTTATTATTTTCATTTCTAAAGACGCGTGATTTGTAGAGCGACCTACTTGGGATCTCCCACGCTGTAGTAGTAGCTATCTGTCTATTCATTATTTTATTATTTGTTCGCTCTCTTCATATTCTGTAAGTGTGTGATTTGTGAGTGTGAGCGTGAGATGTGTGTATGTGTGTTTAAATGTGTGTGTGTGTGT